ACTTTCAAATGACTTGTAGATCATCAGCAATACACCAGAATAGCTTCACTCCACTCTGAGCCTGCAATTTTACAATAGTTGCAGAAATAAAATAAATAAAAAATCTATCCCAGCTTTACTATCATGGATAACAAAGGTCAAGGCCCAAGAGAACATCCAGCTTCAATACTTACTAAGGCAACCAATACAGTTCCAGCTTTAGTATCATAGATACCAAAGGCCAAGCCTGTCAAAAGAAAAGTATACTGCTCAGTACCTGCTTGGCTTTATTACAGATTCTGAATGCTGATGATTATGCCAAGAGGACTTCTGAATTGGGAAGCATTATGATAGTCCTTTACTCGAATTGAACTTTTGTTTACATACCTATTCTTCCTCAATCCTGATAATAGGATCTTTTACCATCTAAGCCACTACCTTGAATCATGTTATACGTCATTAACTCTGATTTTCTCATTTTACACTAGCTAAAAATAGCTCTGGTGCTGGAATAAAAAGTTGTTGATCTCTCCCTTTAAATAGCAGGGAGGTTGAGTATATTGGGGTGGAACTACCTGTTGAAGCATCCACAAATATCCTTTTCTCGTCTGGAACAACAGGTATTTTGATATCCATTGCAAGTATTTTGTCTTGTTCACTTACTCTATTATTTGGTGTCAAAATTTTCTCGGTTACCGCTTAAAATTAATTTAAGGTTCTGTTTTTAGTGACTTAATATATATGTTCATTCATACCTTAAAAAAATGTATATGTTCATTCATTATCTCTTGTGGGATGAAGGACCCTTTTACTTATCTATAATATCTTACCTTGTAAAAAGAAAAGGACCCATTCTTTTTCTACCACATTTAATGAAGAACATTTCATGATAATTATGGTGAAAGAGTTCAGTTTATCGGTATGAGAATAATGTAAAAACTGCTTAGTCGACTCATTCATGAGGGATTAAGAAAAAATTTGGAGTAGAACTACTAATATAAGACTATTACATTTACTCTCTATAAATGTGTTTTAGGGGAACCAAAGGCGATTCCATGGACTGCGACTACACCCCTTAGGGCGGCTGCTGATGGATGGTCCTTAAACATTGGCAAAGATGATGTGGTGGCCTGGCCCACCAATCTTGGATGGATGATGGGCCCTTGGCTAATTTACTCCACTCTGCTAAATGGAGCAACCATGGCCTTATACAATGGGTCCCCCCTTGGTGCTGGCTTTGCTAAGTTTGTTCAGGTTCGATGCAATCTAACACTGTAGACCCATTTCAAATACCAAATTAACAGTGGTGGCGATGATGATGATAAACAACTTTGATTTGTTAAACAAAAAACTTTTATGAATCTGACTAGTTGCATACTTGATTGGTCTTACGTAAAGCAAGGAACTCTCCGTATACTGCTCAATACTTCAAGCTAGATGATTAGGGGACTTGTGCAAACTTTAGGTGCCGCGCTTGCTAGACCAAGTAGATAGAACAGCAAATCTAAGCATTTCTGCCTATACTACCAAGGACCAACTCTGTAATTAGTATTAGTATTTCGGACATCATTCTTTTCTTTTTCTTCCTAATACTACCAATCATTTAACTTGAGAAATATGAAGGCTAGAATACCACCCCAAATGACTTCAGATTGAAAATTTGGTTTTACTGTGTACAAGCTCACTTCTCCTTACAAATTTTCCATTTATGGATTCTACCATTTTTTGCCATCTAAAATCCTCAAGGACTTATCTAGGATGCTAAAGTTACTATGCTTGGCGTGGTCCCAAGTATTGTGAGGGCATGGAAATCCACAAATTGCACTGCTGGTTATGATTGGTCATCCATCTGGTAATTCTTCTTAAACATCTTCGAAACAGTTCGAGGACACTATATTATTCTAGAAAATTATGTGTTATTTTGTTTCTTTTCTTTTCATCCCCTAGTCATCCATGCAATTACTTTCATTTGGTCTTGGGCATATTTTTTCTTTAGAATTGTATTTGACTTCTGTAATCCATATGGAACTTCAAAACTTCTCACGCTCCAAAGACATTTCCAACATTTTTCTAGCTTAATTTAATTATGTATGATGGCAGTCACTTTGCCTCCACCGGTGAAGCATCTGGTGTGGATGAATCCCTTTGGTTGATGGGAAGAGCTCAATACAAGCCTATAATAGAGATCTGTGGCGGGACAGAAATTGGTGGTGGATTCATTGCTGGTTCGTTGTTGCAACCACAATCTTTATCTGCTTTTAGCACAGCAGCTATGGGTTGTAGTCTATTTATTCTTGGCGAAGATGGGTCCCCTAGAGTAAGTATTTTTCAGCCTTTCTCAAACAATAAAAAGTGATTTTCGTATTAAATGATGCTTAGTTCATGAAAACTGACCAGTTCTTTCCTAAAGATGCAAACACTACAAGTCTTATGTAGGAGTCCGTTAAGCATTCTAATGCATTAGCTCTCGGTAAATTACAACTTTTGCATATACTGCATCTAGGGGTTGCCACTAGTAAACATCAAGCAATTTACATTACCGCAACTTCACACGGGATAGTTGAAAATTATGAAAGGAAGGTTTGCCACATGAAAAAATCAGTAGTTTTCTCTAGAAGGGAGAGTCACACTCATGAACCATGTGTTGGATGAAAGCCCCTCATACTATTTGTCGTTAACTCTATACTTCCAATGTTGCTAAGCAGTTGGATAGGAGAAATTACACATGGACAGGTAATTCTGAATGGAGTAATAAGGAAGTCATCAGCACTAAATATGTTATGGAAGATAAGAAAGCACTGGAAGAATTTCAAATATCTGTGGGGATAGGAGAAAGATTAGAATGTTGTTGAATGTGGAGCTGGAAACAGGTGGAAAATAAACATCGGTAAAATTATTAGATTAGGAGATGGATAAAGCTGGTCAACACCTATGGAGAATTAAAAATTGAAGGACTTGGACAGTGAATCCGATTCCTTAATTGGAAAGCAGACAAAAATAGTATCCTCTTTGTTAAATCCTGTTAGAACACTTCACATAGAGTAGAAAATATGAAAAAGGATTGGTCAGGAATTGGGTAGAATTCTATTATGCAAACGGCAGTGAAGGTAATCTGTATTCTCCTTTTCTCTTTGCACAGGAGAGAGGGGAGGTATGGTGGTTGAGGGTTGTAAAGAAAGAGAGCTTCCTTTTTATTCATAAATTGGTGCCGCAAGTACATTTGAGTAGGAAAATTTCAAACTTTACCTAAATGCCGTTTTCTTGGTTTAGTACAGGGTTCTAACGAACAGGGGATAAGCAGGTTTGGTAATGGCAATTGATAGCTGCTAAATAAAAAGTCGAAATTACATTGTAGTTAAATATTGTAAGTGACCCTTAAAGATATTTGATACATTCAAAGTAATTCTGTTAACTCTAATTGTAGCCATTTGATTCTCCTGGGATTGGTGAATTGGCCCTTGGTCCCCTTCTATTTGGGGCATCAAGCACATTACTGAATGCTGACCACTATGGTGTATATTACACAGGAATGCCTGTTTGGAATGGAAAGGTTAGTAGTATTTCTGATTCTACCTTGGCACTTTATTCTTTTTCTAGATAAGTACTTAATGTGTTACTAACTACCTAGCAGGTTCTTAGAAGACACGGAGATGTATTTGAGCGTACTTCTAGAGGTTATTACCGTGCACATGGCCGTGCAGATGACACCATGAATCTGGGGGGTGTAAAGGTCTATGCTTTACCTTGTATTGTTATTAAAAAATCATGAATTATTAGGGTCTCTTTGCTTTAAGACTTCATTTGAAAAAAAGGTTATTACTTGAGACTATTTTGTCAATTTTTCAACTAAACCAATACTATTACTCATCATAACTGATATTTGCTCCATAAATAAAACAATAACTGTTGGTCTTATTTATCAGAAATTGTTTCTTTGAGGCATAACAAGTGGTCCTTGACCCCTTTCATCTATTTGTTCTCTGTACCTTTGTGTATTTCTGAACACAGGTTCTCCCTTCTAGCTTATCAGCTGTATTTGTTGCAGACAACTTTATGTATTGTTTCTTCTCTTACCCGTAACTGAAACTTATGATTCCTTTTGCCAGGTAAGTTCAGTGGAGATTGAGAAAGTTTGTAATGCAGTTGATGAAAGTATCCTTGAGACAGCAGCTGTTGGGGTGCCACCACCTGGAGGTGGCCCTGATAAGTTAGTTATCGCCGTTGTATTTAAGGATTCTAAGGGGTCAAAGGACAATTTGAATTCATTGAAAGTTTCTCTCAACTCAGCTTTGCAGAAGAAATTGAATCCTCTATTCAAGGTATGCACATAATATTCAGCTTTGGTAATACAAAGTTTGAAGGTTAATGTTTCCTTATCCAGTCTAAAATATTGCAGGTTTCACATATAGTAGTCCTCCATTCACTTCCAAGAACAGCAACAAATAAAGTGATGAGAAGAGTATTGAGACAGCAATTTTCTCAAGTTGGCTCTAAACTGTGACCTATGTTACTCCCCGTTCTCAAAAAAATCAACCAAAGCCAAAGTGGGAGGGAAAGTTTATTTGTTGTTGTACGAACTTTTCATTTTCTGTTCGCTCTTTCAATAAGTTTCAGCTGCAGCCGCAACTTCTAGTATATAGTATGATTAGAACTAATGCAATGGTAATAATGAAGCATATAAACAATTATTCAATAATAATGTTTGTGGCTAATCTGGTTGTTTAAGCGCAATTTGACTATCCTTTCACTACACTAATTGCACAAAATAACCGAATTTTTCTAACAATTGAATCGAGTTTATATTGAATATAGTATTATTAGTCATACGAATATTACATTTAATAAAATCACAAATTATCAAAGTTATTTTTTCATTTTCCAAAACTTAATATCAGGTAAAATCCTATGTCACATAAATTAAGCAAATTTGAGGACCAAGAATGGAATACAATACAATGGGAGTGAACTGGAATTAATACTATACAATTTAAGGACCAGAAGTGAATTAAATTACTTGTAGAATAGGGGTGTACTATGCTCACCTAGCTCAATCTAGAGCCTAATACCTCTTCCTATTTTTCACCATATACATAATCGAAAAGCTTAGCAAGAAGTTCCTTCCTCTTCCACGGCTTTCAAGTTCCACCTAACCGGTGTAAATCCTCTCGGCCGGCCCGGCCTCTATGGAAAAAATTTCTCCACAATAAGAAATCAGTTCAAAATCTAGGGTTCTTTTTCTCTATAGGAGAGAACGAATTTCATGGCGGCAACTCTCATATTGAAACCTACCCTTTCCTCTGCTTTCCTCGGCCAAAAACTGTAAGTTGTCTTATTATCTGCTTAGAAAAATTGTATGCGGGTTATCTTGTGTATTATAAGTCGTATTGAGCATTTGGGATCTATTAATTTGTTGTTGGTATGTTAAAGTTCCTACTATTTGTTAAACTTTTGTGCAGTTCGAGTAGAGGAAATTCGAAGAGGTCGGAACCGTCTCGTTTGTTTTCAAAGGGTACAAAATGTGCAACGGATACGGCTTATGGAGGTGGGTTTTCTAATACTAATTAACACCTATCAAATTGAAAACTCTATGTATTGATGCTACTATGAAAAGGGAACTGCAAGCAGATACAACATACAATTTTAATTGATGATTTATAATAGTTTTAGATTAATAACTCTGTGGCCGGTAAGATTTTGGGTTAGTATTGAAAGATGTGTTACAATGTTAAAAGGGTATTGGGTCTTGGTGCTCAAGATGCTGATTCGGAATTAAGTATTTAGTTGGGGAACTTTATATTAAAAGAATTGTAGAGATGCAAAATCTCTAAATTTCTCTATTAAAAACTCCTTTGAAAATGATAGTAGAATTTAAACAAGAATTCTGGCGCATATAAGCTTTAATCTTTCACTCTTTGCCAAATTAACGCGAAAGACCGTCAGCTTTTTTTAACTTAGGTTACTTCTTTATGTTAACAATGAGTGGTAACAGAGGGAAAAATTGAAGTTAAAGTAACTTCTCTTTTGGCGTTGGATAAGTTACATGTGTAAGTTTGTTCTCTGGTTCTTTTCGAGTTGTTTGATTAACATTCTAGCATGAAACATCTAGTTTGATGTTAACAATCTGATTTCTGAAGGTAACGTTCCAAAGTTTTCTCGAGTGAATGTTTGGGACCCTTACAAACGTCTTGGAATAAGCCGTGATGCCTCTGAGGAAGAAGTTTGGAGTTCGCGCAACTTTTTGTTAAACCAGTATGCCAATCATGAGAGAAGTGCAGAATCAATTGAAGCTGCTTTTGAGAAGATACTAATGAAAAGCTTCATAAATAGAAAGAAGACAAAGATTAACTTGAAAACAAGGCTAAAAAAGCAAGTCGAGGAATCTCCGCCATGGGTTCAGAACCTCCTCAGCTTTGTGGAACTTCCACCACCTGTAATTATCTTGAGGAGATTATTCCTCTTTGGATTCATGGCATGCTGGAGTGTGATGAACTCAGCTGAAGCTGGCCCTGCATTCCAGGTTTGTTCTGTCTCAATTTTTATCCGTGACAAGTCTTCAGATTTCATTTGATTTGCCAATATCCATAGGTGATGGGAGGGCATGTTCTTATGAACACACTGTACCTTGCAGTGAATATCTTTCTTAATCAGTGCAAATTTATTCTGACATAAGTCTAATAGTTGGTAAAGATCTGTACAACTTCTGACACCACCGTCATAAAAAATAAGATCTAGGTGGTTTCTTCCCATCTTTCTAACTCTTGGTGGCAGAGTTATCATGTTCTGTGCTAGTGGTAGGTAGCTCAGGTTCCCGTGGAATAGTCGAGGTGCACGCAAACTTGCTCGGACACCACCGTCATAAAAAACAGTTTGGCTTTTACACTACTTTGTAAAGCATAAATTTAACTCTTAATGTTATTGATAGTTTCTCTACTGTGATTATGGACTGTACATGTATTGCAAGCCCCTCTTACCTATCAAACCAAATAGTAGATAAATTTGAAAACACAAGGAGACAATAATTGATTAAAAAAGGAAAGAGAAAGATAAGGATACCCAACACAGTATGTGAACAGAATTCAAAAGTCAATATTCTTTTGTAAATAAAGAACTACTGATTAGTCTGTAAAGAGCAAAGAACTTAAATTTTCTTCATCAAAAAAATTGCAAAATACTTATTTCTTTATCATATTCATCCAAATGTCCCTTGCTGCCTGGGAATCTCATTGCACCAAGATATCCTTGTTGAACATCTTCATTTGTATTTTGCCATTTTTAGAGAGAAGAAAGGACGGAGGAGGCTCTGGTTTAAGTAAATGAGTATTGGCCTCTTTATAGTATTGTTTGTTTCCACATCAGTTAGTGTATGAGTTGTAGTCTTGTTATAGAGTTCTGGACAATTCTCACCAATTGAGCTGGTTTTTGGACTAAGTTGGGCCTAATGTCCATTTTCTTGTCAAAATCAGACCCAGGTATTGGTCCACCTTTATTAAGTTACTCTATGCTCTGTCTAACCCTAGGTGTGCTAGGAGGTGCTAGATTCTTCCATCAGTTAAATATATGGGTTGTAGTCTTCTTTTTACCAACCTACGAGTAGATCTGATTTTTATGATTCAATTAGGACCAAGATTCCTTTTCTTGACAGTTAAAGTTTTCAAACTCGACCATAGGAAACTTGAGAACCTTTTAAATAATCATGTACTCTGGAACATCTCTCAGCAATCCTCCCATTCTGGCTCCGGCTTGTACCATAAGAATGGTCTTGAACTATCAGCACCATGTATTTATGGGGAAATGGAAAAAGTCAAAACAGGTCAGGAAACAAAGCAGTATTAATTAAAAAAGTCCACCTTTCAGCCCTCTAATGGCTGCTTGGCTTTCTCGGTATCCCTCGGGGGTCTAACTGCCTATACTCATCAGTGACCATTAGGTTTTTCAGGTTTAGCTCCATAACAGTATAAAAGTTGAAGACTAAAAGTGATGTAAATTGTAGTTATTCTTTGATGTTTTAGTTGAAAATGCAGACAGTTTCAGAGTTTGACCTGCATTTAATAACGCAAGGCTTATATTGAGCAGCTGTGGATGGTATAGTGGTTTGGCTGCTGTCATTCTGGAATCTGGATCATGTTTTCTGATAATTTCTACACCTTGAAATAACTGGCGGTGACAAGCTTTCAAGATTTTAAATAAATGAATTCCAGCTTAATTTACAGACAACTCATTTTTATGCAGGTAGCAATATCATTTGGAGCTTGTGTATACTTCCTTAATGACAAGACAAAGAGCTTAGGTAGAGCTGCTCTTATAGGGTAAGTTGATTGGTTGTCTCAGTTTTGGATGGTAAAAAAGATGCTAGTTTCTAAATTCCAGTATCATTTTCTGATAATTCACTTTCATCATCGACTTCTTACTATTAATAAGTGTGCACCTTTTACGTATCAGGTTTGGAGGCCTTGTGGCTGGTTGGTTTTGTGGTTCACTGTTGGTTCCCATGATTCCTTCATTTCTGCTGCAACCAACATGGAGTCTTGAACTCTTGACGTCTCTCTTCATATATGTTTCTTTGTTTCTGTCCTGTACTTTTCTCAAATGAGACTCTAGAGAACCTGTTTAACTGCAACAGTTTTGGCATGTTGCATCTTGCTTAATTCATGGTGTTCCTCCAATACTTTGTACCTTCGAGCTAGTTATATGGTGATTAGAAATTGTTATCAAACTAGTAGGAGTTACGGTCAATGTTTATCTTCCATTTACTCTTGAATTTTCAAATGATGTAAGTTGAAGATACATGTATCTGGGCTCATTGGTCCTCCTTTCGCCAAGATAAAGTGAAATTTTAGTGGGAAAAACTGTTATGTTTGCTACACCTGATCTTCCTATTGGTTCCTTCATCTTTTATTCCTGGCATTTTCTTTTCTTTTTTGTTTTCTTCCTGGCAATTTTCTGATGTGAGAGCTAACTTATTGCAATATCAAGAGGGAATGAGGATATAAAGGGATTAAAATGACATCAAATGCTCAATAAGATCACATTCATCTGAAATTTCAAAGTAGCATGTACAGCAAACTTGCGTGGTTCACTTGAAATATTTACCAGATATGAACTCTTTTGAGTTGTGGACGACGATTTCAGGATACGTAGAGAAGATGGTACTAATTATGCTTCATTGATATGTGGTGATGTGTGTCTTCTGGCTTTTGACCACTAGAGTAAGGTTGGGGTACTTGATTATGATAGGAAGAGGTAACAAAATGGCAGGCGTTACTTGACTAAATAAATCTTGTAGCACAACCTCACCCTACTACTTGTTCAGGTTCTTTTGTCCAGCATTGTCAATTTTTACATATCCAGTTTAGTGCTTTGAATCAGAAAAAAATGTGAATAATAATAACACAATACTCGAAATGTGGGCAATCTCCAGCGGTAAGATAACTTCTCTTGCTAGTCCATATTAGGTGGGGTAAAAGAGTGAAGCACAACTGATCAAGACTTAAGAATCAATATGTCTAGAACTAATAATGCCATATAAATTAGAAATAAACATACAAATAGCTAAATATTAGATGGAGAAGTGAAGTCGGAAATAAACAATAATTACAACATCAGTGTCTTGTTTCAGTCGAACAAACAATCACTAGGAAAATGGGAATGTAAAAATCCAATATGGCTCATGCAGGGCATAATTTTTTGCCTATTATTTCCCTTTTGATTTGGTGTTCCTGAATGCGCAGCAGCCAACACCATAAACAAAGAGGACGAGAAGTAAGAGGCCAAGGTTGACGAGGGAACATGTCTTCCAATCTCTCTTGATGTGGTCAAGGAATGATGTCTTACATGATTGGCAGTTGAAGCAGAGCTCGCTCTGTACATTGCTCCAAATCTTGCAGTCATCGTCTGCTACCGCTGGCCCTGCTTTGGGCATGGTCCAGTAAGTAGCATTGTGGAACTCCAGGCCACAGTAAGTGGGTGGCTTGCAGCAACTCGACTGCACTCACCAAAACAAAAGATTTAAATTATATTACACTAATGAAGTATTTCAACATGTGATAAACCTCCAAGTCATCAGAATGAAACTTTCAAGTCACAATCAGAATGAGGACATTCTTTTTTGCTTTAGAAATCTTCTTTTACCAAAACATAAAATACCATCAAATGCTCATCATCCCTGGCGATCTAAGTGAGGCGATGTCTTTGAAATAGCAGACCTATAGGTGTGACTAAACTCAAGTTACCTGATTGTATAAATGTTTGTTGCATCATCAATGCATTGAACTTAATTTCAGAAATACTTTAGTTGGGGCGAAGGGAGTGTATAACTTAGGGTTTGGATGAACCCAATAACTTTTGTTTAGATCATGCATTTGTATTAGGAAACCCATTATAAATTATGAATCCATGACTATGATTTTTTTGGCAAGTTCAGAACTCATAAACTCTAAATTCTCACTACACACTTCCATATGAATTCACTGAGAAATGAGATAATGGGTAAAGACAAAAGATAAGAACCTGAATATGAGATAGTCTGTATTTATAAAAATCAGCCCCTTTGCCAGTAGGTATACTCTGACAAAATTTGGTATCAACCAAACAACTCTTAATCTCCTCCCAATTCTCTTCATTTACCACATACTTCTGCAACCAGTTGGTGTAATCTCCAGATTTGATTTCCTTATAACCTCTCCCAGATAAAGCTTTGCTCACATTTTTATTCGTTACCAAAATTGCGAACAACGTGAAACAGAGCAACCCCACAATGAGCAAAAACAACAAAAACAAATATATCCAGAGGACAAACGAGACTCGGCACAAGGATCCAACCAATCCCAAAATCGAAACAACCAGGAGACATACTCCCAGTATCAGTAAAGGCTTCTGCAACACTTTCTGGCAAAGTGTAGCGCTGTGGTTGAAATTGAGCCAGATTGAAAACCCTATGGCTACCAGAGAAACCAATAGAGTCACACAATTAAGATATGCAATTATGAAATTGCTTACTCGTACCATCTTACTTTGTGTTTTTGTATGCATAGATTTTGAAAATTGAAAAATTAACTTATAAAATTTCAAACACAAACTGCAAAATCACAACAAACTAATTAAGTAGTAGTCCCTATATTTTAGCCATTAAAGAGCAGTTGTTGACTCAGTTAAAGATGATAAGCCCTGAAATATAGGGAGAAGTTGGGATTAGACTGTTCTCTTATTTGGTAAAACTTTTAAAATTCCGTAAAAAACACACTTATTTGGTTCCTTCTTTATAGCAAATGTATTTTCAGAAAAATATAGGCAACAAATAACAAAAATAAAGATAAAAATTACTTTAAAGTTACAACTTTTGATTATATTTTTACCATGTCATCATCAGGATCTTTCACAAAAAACATCAACACAAACACGAGAGTCATCACGCCAAAATGTACAAAATGATCGGCAATCTTTGTCAAATGAAACTTAATTTCTACAAGTCAGGAAGTGACTAATAAGAAGAGCAATTTCCTTGAAACTTTTTCCATGTTGTGTTGTAATGATTTATTTTATAAAATTTACAATTTGTTTACTATTGCTTTTTTTTTAAAGTTTCTTCAGTATATATAGCTAATTGCGTGTTCCATGTTTAATTTGCTCAAGGCTAGATCAGCTCTTGGTAAGAAATTAAAATAGTTGAATTTTGTTGGTGTTTACTATTAGTTCATGACTTTTTCTTTATAATAATATTATAAGTCTCTGTAACATTATGAAATGATGAAAAATGATGACCCTTCGGGGTGGCCCAGTGGTTTGGGCTTGGGGCTTCCATGTTGGAGGTCTCAAGTTCGAAACCCCTTGCCGGCGAAAGCAAGGGGTTTGCCTTCTGGGTCGAGCTCGTCGCGCCGGGCTTGCCTAGTGCGGGTTACCTCTCCTATGTGGTTTGCGAGCTATTGCATAGGAGCGAGAGTTTTACCATGTGCGCACCCAAAGGGTAGCGGTTGCGGGTTTCACTTGTCATAAAAAAAAAAACGATACAATTAAGCCATAACACTATATTCAACGGATTCAAGTTTGATGGCAGGTGTACGTAACTCAAGTAAATATAAGTTCCAGCAAAACCTTGTGCTGATAGTAACATCAAGCATCCTAAGCTCAGAAAGATGTGCATGAAGTTGTAGACCGCAATGGTCCAGAAATCTATTAGAATGTGCAGCTAGCTAGCTGCTCTAAATGTGTCAAACTCCCGAACACATTAGGAAGCTTCAGGGTTTGCGGATAAACTAAGGATTTCAGTAGAGGAACAAGCATGGTGTCAAATTAGTTAAGGTGTGAGGGGCACCCTTTACTTAATCTTTGAGAGTTAGCGAAATTGTTTCCTAATATAAGGACAATTTTTCCTCTCTTCTACCAATGAGAGACTTTACTTAGTTCCCTCACATTTCCCAATTCTCATTTCTCAATTCACACCTTACTTTAACCCAACAGAATAAACAAACTCGACAATCAGGGAGCGGAGAGTATTCACCTAAACCCCCATGACAAAAAAATCATAGACCTAAACACAAAATTAGAAGTTGAATAAATTGTTTTGGAGTTCGAAATTTGATAATATTTTTTATTTTTTAAATCTCCTTCCGTCAATGTCAATGTCAATACAATGTTTTATACCATCCAAACCAAGCTTCATATTGACCATTATGGAAATGGAAATATAACGAACCAATAGGGCTCAAACAGGGTATACTTTGTTCCTTTGGGGTCCCTTTGACCTGTTCTTGAATTTGAGAGCACAGAAGTCAACACAACAAACAAAGACTATGAAAAGAGTGATGAATGATGTGATCTTCCAATGTTTCTTGATGATATTATAGGATGCTGTCTTGCATGATTGACAGTTGAAGCAAAGCTCGCTCTCTACGGTACTCCAGTTCTTGCCGTCATTATTTGCTACTGCTGGCCCTGCTTTGGGCATGATCCAGTAAGTATCATTTTGAAGCACCAACGTGCACTGAGCAGGTAAAATGCAACAACTCAACTGTAACCAATAAAGCAAAGATTTATTACTTTGAATTAACTTAAACTAAGAAGCATATGACATATAAATTTTCTAATTAAGAACCTGAGCAGGAGAGAGGCAATATTTGTAAAATTCAGCCCCTTTGGCCGTAGGTATATTCGGACAAACTTGGAAATCAACCAAACAACTCTTAATCTGCTCTGCATTCATCACATACTTCTCCAACAAGTAATCTGAGTAATTTCCATCTCTCCCAAATAAAGCCCTGCTCACATTTCTATTGGTGACCAAAATTGAGAACACCGCAAAATAGAGGAGTCCCAAAAGGATCAAGCAGTACGAGATCTTAGATATCCAGAAGATAAATTTGACTGGATAAAAGGCCACAATCAATCCAAAACCCAAAGAAATCAGTACAATCAATCCCAGTATCAACGAAGGCTTCTCCAACACTTTGACACAGAGAGTAGGGATGTCGCTGAAATGTAACCAAACTGAGAACCCTATGAATGCCAGAGAAACCACTAGACCCGCACATCCAAATATGCAATTGGGGCTTACTCGTGCCATTTTCTTTTCTCCGGTGAACGGATACCAGAAGTTGAAAAAAAATAACTGATCACCCTGAATCAGAATCCTACACGTCTCGTGCACTGTACATAAGGATGGCAACGAGGCGGGGTGGGGCGAATTTTAAGCTATGCGGAGCGGGTTTTAGGTTATGCAAAGCGAGGCGGGTTGAAATATATTTTTCTAAATTAATGCAAGGTGGGGAAAATTGCGAATCTATGCGGATTTAAACAAAAGAAAGTTATATGGAGCGGGGCGGGCTGGTTTTAGGTTATACGGGTGCAAGGCGGGTTGAAATATATTTTTCT